ATATGTGAGCTCCCAAATACACCAAGTTAATAAAGAGATATAAAAGGATGATCACTGAAATCCAGGCATTAAATCAATATGCTCTCTTATAGTTACATATGGATCTCTTCATAAATAACATGTATTGTCAATTTTCTAAGACAAAGGCTGAAGTCATTCCAAAGAACGACAATGTAGATGTTTTAAATCCTGCTGACACTCATCATTAACAAAATCACTCTGCGTGATAGACAAATTGACGTGTAGCAAAAAGAATAACAATACAGATGATGATGTGTTAGTGGTACGATTAAAGATTGAAAGTGTCTTCTTTTCAGAGACAGAAGTCTTTAGAGGGAATGCCTCTTTTATAGGAGATGAAACAGTTGCTTTTATCAAAAGATCAGTTCCTGACTTCCCATGAAGACTGGCAAGAGGGAAGGGGTTCAGAGGGAGAAGGTGGGAGAGAAGCGGAGAGAGAAGGTGTAGGTGACGGCTAATGATGACTTGTAGTCATTTGGGATCTGGGGGAGGAAAAGCCAAAGCTGCAGCCACACTGCAAGCCAGGCGACAAGATGCTTACAGCCCTGGTGACTGGACAGACACACAGACCTCAGCAGCCTCAGATCCTGTCACCTCTGCATAGCAGGCCAACATGGGAAAGGCCCTGTGTTACCCTCCTGATCTCCAGAGTACTACATCCAGGTGCTAACTTGAGAAGGGGTCTACTGTGTGTGAATGAGCTACCATAGGGACAGAAGGAATGAGAGACAGAGACAGACAGACAGACAGAGACAGAGACAGAGAGAGACAGAGAGACAGAGAGAGACAGAGGAGAGGGTCAGCAACGGGCCTGCTGAGATCAGGCAGCAGTGAGCAGTGGCTGAGGAGGCCGGGTGTTTGGAAGTCTGACTGTGATGAGGAATGAGCTCACTGCCTGTGGGCAGCAGAGACTGAAGGGGGCCAGCCTGTGCCCAGTGAGTTGTTAGCTGATTTTCGGCTGCTGTGTGTGGCTGGCTGGCCTATGAGGTCGGGAACTAGCCTCCGCATGGCCAGTCCTCACATCCCCACCTCCCCTTTCCCCATAGCGAGGAGTCTCAAAGTCCTGAGAGCAGCAGGCAGAGCTCTGGGTGGCTGGGGTTCTCTTCCTCAAGTTCAAATCTCAGTGCTCTGTTTGCTTCCCCGAACCTCTGCGGCAGTCACATACAGTAGACTTCAGACACAGTTATAGTTCTGACTACAGGACCTAAAATTCATCTTTTCCCATTCCTCACCCTTCATTTTTGTGGTTGTTTTTGTTATGTGTTTTTTTCCTATTATATTTTGTATTACTGTTATCACTTTATTTTGACTTCTTTATATTTTGATTTTTTTCTTTCCTTATTTTACCTAATTCTATGTTGATTTTTTTCCCTTTTCTCTTGAAATTGGGTGTTTTTGTCTCTTGCTCTGGTCCGCTTTACCAATTTTTTTTTCAACTTTAATCTTGCTTTTTCTTTTTTTTTTTTTGTCTCTTTGCTGGGTACTCCTGTCTTTTATTCTTTATTATTTTTAAGATCGTTCATTTCAAGTTGTTCTTTTTAAAAATTTATTATTAAGTAGCTGTACAAAGAGGCTACAATCCCATAAATTAGATTCTGAGTACCATGAATCTTGATCACTGTTACCCTTTCCATCATCCTCCCCCATTATACTATCATGAAATCTTAATTTCATTGTTTACTATTTTTACCACTTTTAATGATGGCATAGTAAGTGTCTTTAATTGATTTATATTATATTTCTACGTCTGGTATTATTTGGCATTCTCCCCCTCTCTCCCCCACCCCCCCTCCCCCATACCTGTACTGCGCAACACTAGAGATTGAGCTCTCAAGGCAAAACTGCCACTAAAAGATATTGATAGGAATCTGGGAGAGACATGAATCCTGCTCTCACACAAATTACACAGAAACACAAGAAATTTGGAAAAACAAGATGACTCATAACTTTGGTAGCTGAATTTAAAGATAATGACATCGTTGAAATGCCAGACATAGAGTTCAAAGGGACAGGATTTTAAATGACCCATGACCACAAAGAAACTAAAGTAAGCTTATGACTGAAGTAAATAAGTTGAATCAAGATTGAATGAGACATTTAGCAAAGAAATGGGAGGAAAAGACCTAAATATAAGTCATGGAAATTAAAAATTCGATAAATATAGCATACTCAACCAAAAGCATTTTTAATAGAATACAGCAAATAGGAGATAGAAAATCCAGAACTGAAGACATGTTTGAGGACTTGTTGCATTTAAATAGCAATTTTTTTAAAAAAGAATCAAAATCACAATATCTAAGATCTCTGGGACAGAAGAGACTAAATATGAATCTATAGTGTAGAAGAGATAACTAAGATACAAACTAAAATCATATAAAATCCATTTCCAGAAACTCTATTGTAAAAGTTTCTAATCTAAGGGTAGAAATAGAATGATTTAAGAGATATGGCCTATACACACAATGGAGTTGTTATTTTTTCAGCCATAAAAAGGAAAAAAATTACCTTATTTGCAGAAAAGCAGATGGGAATAGATATCATCATGTTAATTAAAGTAACCTAGGACCAGAAAGAAAAAAATTTCATGTTTTGTTTAATTTTATGTTGACTCTAGATTGTAAAATGACAAGTAGAAGGAAGCCTATTCAAGAGGAGAAAGGAGAAGGAGAAAACATATACATATATGAAAAATGTCAATTGTATACACTGCCGTACGGTTTAAACAAGCATAAGATTGCACAGTTAATTTACCAGAAACAAACAAAAAACTTCTCTGACTATATCTATGTAGACTGAGAATAACAAGTAACTCAGGAGCATCATAGTAAAATAAATATGTAACATCCTATTTCATAGGCTACATCAATTTCCCTTGTCCTTCATCTCCATTACCACAAATGATATCCATATAAAACCCCCTATTTCCATTCCAGAGATGAAATCCATTTACTGTTTCATCTTCATCTTGTCATCATTATCTGTAAAATATGGAAACTAATAGTACTGGATAGAGAACACACACATATGTGATTGTAAGCCAGTAGATATTTCTTATTTACCATGGGAGGAATGGATCACATACAATCATTTTCCCAGAGACTGTGGTTAGAGGAAGAACATCTTATTTCACCAGGATATTTATTAGTGACATTTGGGGCACAGTTAAGGAAATGCATTTGTATTGGGACTTTCCAGGATTCTGATGTTTTACAGCTACTTCGTAAGTGGGAATTCTAGTAGCAGGCTGGTTGCATGTTTATTAAGGCTCTTTGAGAAATGGAGAAGCATCTAGACAGAGAACACATTTGTGTGCCAGCATGAAGCTTTTACATTTCCACAAGTGCAAATTGATGGAAATGTATTGACATGTTCGCCCTTCTTTCTGCTTTATTTCTTGTGAGGAAAAGCCTTTTTGTCCCTCTCTCCTTCCCTCCCTCAGTTTTTCTGATCGGAACCTTGATTCATTGGATGTTTTCTTTACTTCATACTTATAACCTCCAAACTCTCAGCCGCACACAGTAACTCATTTTGGTGATGTGTGTAGGTAGGTTTTTTTTTTTTTTTTTCTCAAGGGTTAAAAGTGTTTGAATAGCAGCCGAGGGATGAGGAGCAAAGTAGCATTCAATGCTGTGGGCAGAGATGGGCCTAGACTCCAAATTCTGCCTGCCTTTCTGTTTTATGCTGATGACTAGAATACTTTTGTAACCACTTAGTAAATTGCTAAATTAAGAATTCAAATGCTTGCTCAAGGAGCTTTCAGGTTTTCTTTCCCTTTTTAAAATGTTTATGGTAAACGTGATACACAGTCAGGCATTGAGTGCATTTCTTTTTGAACAGTGTCACCCCTTCCCTCGTTTTATCCCAGTTTTCCCCTCCCAACCCTTCTCCCCAAGGTGTATAGTTCATTTCCAACGAATTAGTTTACCCTTTGTCCTACTATTTGAGTCTTTTTTTTTAATTTTATAGCTTCATGACCTGAAGCAAAAATCATATTCTGCTTCGCCTTGTTTCTTTTTTTTTAAACAAACTAATAAAACATATTGGCTGGCTGCACTGGACATTGATGAAAGTGAGCTCTGTGACTTGTGGGTGGAGGTGGGAGGAAGGCCATGGGCGGGAATGAGGGGCCGGATAACACTATGCTATTACCTGGTGCAGGGAAAGGCAGCCCCGCTGTACATCACCGCTAAGACAACATTAAATTAGAAAAAAAAAAGCCTAGTCTACTGTAGTCTAATATAGGGTACTTGCTGGTGATTAGATGAGGGGCTACAAATAAAATATGTAGAGTAGGACTTGTATGGTGAAGAATTCAATAAATAGTATACAATGTTTCTAAAGCAATAATATTTGGGATACATAAAACTACTGTGGTTTTTTTTTAAATCTTGGACAAGGAGAATGTGAAAACATATTGCAAGGTATTTTTTGTAGCTCTATCTATAATTTGACTTCATTAAAATCAGTGGGTCGCAACCGCTTGGCTAGCTGAATTTTGCCTGCTGTCAAAAATAAGTACGACATAGAGGAAGGGAAGCCTCCTCTATGGGAAGCATGAAGCGCCCCTGGACACCATATTTTCTTACAGTGGTCACTCAGTATAAAATGGCTTATGATATTTGTGAGTATTCAGAATCTGTGCCAACTAAAGCAGTCTCTGGATGCACGGTGGTCAGACAGTATTTGTAGACATACAGTGAAAACATGGTGTGGTGTACAGTATTAGGTAGGGTGCAGAGGTCACCAGCCAACCATGGCCTGGATTCTGCCATTGCTAACTTCATCCGCCACTTCCTAAGGGGAGAAAGCGAAAGGGCAAGACGGAGGCAGCACTTTTGTGTCATAGGGAAGAAGGGATGGTGGTTAACTTGGCAGAATGTACAAAACCCGCCTTGGACGCTCCAGCCTGGAATCTCAGGTGACTGAGTCTGCACATAGCAGTGGGGTGATCTCACATCATGCTTTTCTTGTCTTTGCAGATTCCCCAGATTAGTTACGCGTCCACGGCCCCCGAGCTCAGTGATGACCGGCGCTACGATTTCTTCTCCCGTGTGGTCCCACCGGATTCCTTCCAAGCCCAGGCCATGGTAGACATCGTCAAGGCTCTGGGCTGGAACTATGTGTCCACGCTCGCGTCTGAGGGAAGCTATGGAGAGAAAGGTGTGGAATCCTTCACGCAGATTTCCAAAGAGGCAGGTAGGAAGAGATTACAATCCTCCAGTTGACCTCTGCTCTCCAGATAACCTGTGCCCTGTGGAGACCGTGGAGGAAAGGCTGGGGTTCCCCTCCCTGCCCTGCTCCGGCCTTCCCTGCTTCCTGTGAAGTCGGTATACAGCCTTTGTCTGAAATGTATGCTGGTTTGGGACACATTTTCCAAGGCCTGACACTAAAGTCAGTAACGACCTCTTAGAAGGATGAAGGACAAAAAGAAAACAATAAGCACTAAAATTAATACCTTACATATACCTCATAATTAATTGGAGGGGCTTCCAGTCTGCCTCTGTTAACCAATCGGGGGCCATTTGAATGCTGGCTGCCTCTCCCCAAAATGAGAGGCTGATGAGAATTCCCTGACCCCCTCCCCCCACACACACCGTTCTGACTTCCAGAGGGGTTACAGCAATGCCTGGGAAGACTTGGCCAAAACAGCATACATTATCCAGGGAGCAGAATGCATTTCAACAGATAGACATTCACACTTCCAGAGGATTCTTTTACGTTTGTTTATTCGGCCCTAGCTGAAAATTAATGGGCTCTAGTGTTTTTTTCCAAACGTCTTTGATGGGGCAGATTTTGAAAAATGAGATAAAATTCTCCAGTTTAGGGATCTTTACAATAAATATTAGGGCTTTCCTTATATCACACACACACACACACACAGATAGATAGATGGATAGATAGATAGATAGATAGATAGATAGATAGATAGATAGATAGATAGATAGATAGATAGGTAGAACTTCTTATATGATTCTTATGCTAAAATAAGGCCTCAATTTTATTGGCAAGGATTTTAGAATTTTATCCATCAATAGTGTTATTGTATTGACTGGCCCAATGGACTGATCTTATAAACAGAGAAGCAGCCGTCCATTGCATGTGGAATGGTGTCGTGAATGTTGAAGTGAGGGCTTTGAGCATCTGAGTCTCAGACTACAGGTGTATGTTCAGATGTTCCATGTTTCTGCAAATGTCTCACAGACCTGCACCTGGCTCCTGAAAGGTGGAAGCGAGGCTTCTTTGAAAACTCATAGCTTTTAACCCAGTACATGATTAACAGCTATGACTGCAAATGTCAGTGATGGCTGGATCATTCCTCTGTCTTCTCTCCCTCTGACTGAGTGCTCTTATTCTTATCAATATTCTTACAATGTGGATCATTGTAATCCTACTAAAATGTCTAGATTCAAGCACACATGTGCACACTTCCTTCCTGTGTTGTGCTGGCTTGGCTTGTGCTCCTAGAGTATTCGCTAAGCTATCTTATCACATTTTCATGCAATTTCTTCCCTAGTTTTTTCTTTCCTCATCCTCAGAACTGTAGGATAAGACCATGCCTGTATTGTTCACCACAGTATCTACAGATGCCATGTTCCTAAGGAGGGGGAAATGCCTAGTATAATTTAGTTAGAAACTTTCCGATTACAGGGGGTGGGGAACCTATCTTAACTCTGGCCTTGTGGCATGCTTTGATTTATAGGATTCATTAACAATTGGCTTCATGAGTCCCCACAGAGATAGCTAATCATTATGGAGGGTGTTTTATTTCTTCCTTTTTTTCCTCTGAATTCTACTTTGATCAAAATAAGGCTGGAGGCTGACAGAGAGAAATATCTAAAATATTAGGATGGAAAGATGGCAAAAGATTTAGAGGGAAAAGATGGGTAACATACTGAGATAAAGTTCAAAAATAAAGATCACATAACATCTCGCATTATGTAATTGCTGTCAGGGGATAGGGACTTTAATACTGATTTTCCTATTGGATAAAAGAAGAACACTGAGTGCTCTGGTACATCATTTATAGTATCTGTGAGATTAAGACCATGTTGGTCTTTCAGACGAGGATAGCTTTCCCTTTCTTAGGATTAAGACAGATGTTTGCTGTGGGCCTTTATAAAACTATGCTTTATGAACAGGTCAGAAGCAAGGATTGTTAGGTTGTTTTTTCCGCTCTTATCATTTGGTGGAAATGTAAGAAACAATATCAGAATTTGCTCCATAATGACTTTACAAAGAAGTACAGTCTTTGTAAGATGCTTAGAACACCCTCGGTATTCATTCAATCCAATCATATGTTTAAATGCCAAGCTCAATATTGAAGATTGTGTCATTGACAATTTGAATGAAATCCTTCAACTTTAGAATGTTTCCCTTTGGAGACAGGATAGCTTAAAAGTCAGCTAGTGCTTCTTAATGTGAGAAAACAGAGTTTTCAGGAAATGTCTTGAAAATAAGGTTTTTGAAAAATAGTTGAAAACATTTTTTTTCTAAGTCTCATAGTACTCAGGGAAAAAATAAAATGTATTCCAACTGTACCATAAACATAACTAACTTAAACTCACATGTGTTTTTAATGGGGTCCTTTCTTCAATTTAAACCAAAAAAAGGTGAGTCTGGGTACTGGTGGCTCATGCCTGTTATCCTAGCTACTCAGGTGGCAGAGATCTGAGGATCATGGTTCAAAGCCATCCCAAGCATGAAAGTCCATGAGACTCTGATCTCCAATTAACCACTAGAAATCTGGAAGTGGAACTGTGGCACAGAGTGGTAGAGTGCTAGTTTTGAGCAAAAAGAGGTCAAGGACAGTGCCCAGGCCCTGAGTTCAAGCCCCAGGACTGGGGAGATAAAAGTGAGAAGGCTAGAAAATGTGAGAGGGGAGAAAATGAGAAGAAATTACAACTTAAGTGCTTTGCGGAAGTTTCCCTTTGTGACTGAGCAAAAGCAGGAAAACAAATCAGTTTCCTTTCTCTTAACATGAGCCTCTTGCTGTTCCAAAAGTGGTGTAGGTATTTAGATATACAGATTCATATCCTAGTCTCCTAAAACAATCCATCTCCTTCCTGTGATGTCCAATCAATCAAACAGTAACAGAACCGAGATCTGAAAAATAAGAGAAAGTCTTTCTCTCTTGGAGCTTCTGGGAAAGTACTCATGCTTAAGGAGTTTTAGGAAAACTCCTAGGATAATAGCAAAGATTTATTGTTCTCCTCATCTGATGAACCATAGAATCTGACTTTAAGAGGGACAAAAATTCTCTCTGTGTGTGTGTGTGTGTGTGTGTATGCATGTGTGTGTGTGTGCAAAGTAATATGACAGAGAAATGAGCAAGCTAGCAGTTATGATGTCAGAAAGACTTGGATTTGAATAATGGAGTCCATTACTTTTGTACTGTAAACATCTTGACACATGATTTAACTTTTCATGCCTCAGCTTTCTCAGAGAGAATGAGATTCATGATACCTGTTTCATCACGTTAGTAAAATAAATGAGATGATGCATGAGGAAACGCGTAATACTCAACAATACCTGATTGTTAGCCCAACACGTTGGTTCCCCATCAACAAGGCAAGTTATTGCTGGAGCTTGAATAGCTCAGAAATAACCTGAATGATGGATGATATCGGCCTTTGATTGTAATTACAAGAAGTGACTTATTTTTATTTGTCTTCAGCCTTCCTTAGCACAGTTAGGGAAGTTTCCTTAAGAGACAGAAGAACTGGACATTTTGGCCTGGAGGGTAAAGTTCCAGAGGAAAAGGAGTATAGCTCATCTTCAAAAGGAGACACAGAGGCTCAAATATAGAGAATTACTGGGTGGGAGAATTGCTTGGTCATTTCTGTTAGGAGGGGAAAGTTCTGTTGCTCATAATTACTGTGGAAGTAATTATGCTTTTGTACTGATATCACTAGTAACCAATAACTATTAGAGGGACAAGGTTTATTCTTCTGTCTTTACTGAGAGTGAATTGAGTCTTCCAAATAAATCTTTTCAGTCTTTGCAAAAAACAAAAAAAGTTCACTGGATGAAGCTGAGAGCAGGTAGCTCATGCCTGTAACCCTTGCTGAGTTTTGAGGATCACAATTTCGAAGCCAACCCAGGCAGAAAAGTCCCTGTGAGATGCTTATCTCCAAATAACCACTCAAAAACTAGGAGTGGTGCTGTGTCTCAAGTGATAGAGTACTAGCCTTGAGCACAAAGAGACTCAGGGACAGTGGCCAGGCCCTGAGTTCAAGCCCCAGGCCTGGCAAAATAAAGAAAGTTCACTGGATGAGATGCCCAGTTGTGAATTGCACAAGTGAAATTCAATGAAGAAACACCAACGATAATGTATCTGGGTGGGCAGAGGCAAATAGAACAAGTGGTAAGGACTGCCAGATCTTTTTTATTTCACTTTTTTAATTGTAGAGATACTGTACAGAGGGTTTACAGTTACACGAGTAAGGTAATGAGTACATTTCCTATCAAGCATTGTTACCCCCTCCTTCGTTTGTTCCCTACCATTCCTTCCCTCCTCACCTCCCCAGCTCCTCCCTCTCCCTCCCAAAGTTGTAAAGTTCGTTTTCAACATAGTGTCTTGTACAGCTCAACCAGATCTTGATGAGCTAAAAGCTCATGGAATTACTTGAACATCTATTAAAGTGGAGTTCTAATGGCTCTTCACCTGAGCTCAGAGGTCAGGATGTCATCAAGGAAAGGGAATTAGTTGAGATGGCATTAGTTAATATTTGGGTTGTGGGAAAATAGGTCACTTTGATTTTTTTTCTTAGTCTTTCTGAGGCTTTTCACCACAGGAGACATTATTTCCTAATCTAATTTCAGTGCTCCAAACGAAAGCCTGGTATTTATAGTGTACAACATCCTATTTTTCAAAAATGGTTTTTGCCCCAAACATCCCACAGTCCCAACCCACTGACAAATAAAATAGAAGGATGTTTAAATTATACCTTCGCAGAAAAATCCATTATTTGTTTGTTTGTTTTGAAAGAAGTTGCAAAATGGCCGCTGTGATTAATCCAGTGGAAAGTGCCCAAAATATTACATGAATAATTACATTAATATTACATTAATAATTGGCCTCTTGCAAACTATCTCTTTAGTGATTTCAACGCCTTGGTAAATGATTCTTGTGTTTTCATGGGAATGGAGCCTCTTTGGGGTTTACTCAAAGGGATCTGTTTTCCTTGAATTTGGCA